TTTAGGTATAACAAAACGAGAAGGATGCTAAAGGTCTGCGATTTTTTGTTTTCCACATACAAATAGTGCTATTTAATTGAATTCTACTTCTAGAAATATGAGAAAGACATTCAGGGGAACTCTATTTACATTAATTCTATTTTTCTAGATTTCCATACAGTCCATAAGTAAATTAGTACAAACATTAATTTCTGGTAAATAATGCTTGAATCTTGTTGTTTATTTTGGATACTGTTACATTACAGATAAGATAATGTTATATTGTTTTTATAATTATCAAAATTGATTTTATATTTGAATAAACTTAGGCTCATTCTTAGTGTTGTGTTTGTAGATAATACCACTAAAAAAGGAAAATAGACATAAGGAGCTATTTAAACAGTCAGACAGTAACCAATATAGGATGATGATAAAAGGTTGTGTTTACATTTAACCCTTTACGATTAAAAGCGCACTAGTATAATAGAAACATTATATGATTGTAGGAAACACAAATATAATAATGCAGGGCAGCCTCAAGGTGAAACAGCTGACCCTTCAGTGCTGTATTATGGAAGAAATGTGTTTGGAATGTTACCATAAAATAAGGGCTGCAATTAATGATTATTTAGCAAATTGATTAATCTGTTGATTATTTTTTCAGTGAATCAATTAAAAATCAGATAGCCAAAGGTTCCTTAAAGAGGCCAATTTTTACTAAATTAAACCAGTTGGAACATAAATGTTTCCTCTTGAGGAGTTCTGGATGGAGAATATTGATAGACAAAAACCTTTTTTTAAATCTTAAATGCAAAATGTTTACATATTTTTTACAATCTTGGTATAATTCCTGCTCTAAGTGGGTCGCTCTGTCAGCTAAAGGCACATTTTAGTGGCCCTATACTCGAGTTAACGATTAATCAATTACTAAATTGATTAATTAAATAATCTTTTAATATAATTAATTGTTTCAGCCCTAGATAAAATGCACAACATGGGCTACATATGTACAACTTGTATAGTGAAGTTTATATGTAAAATGCTCAGTGTTAGTTCCTCTTATAGTTCCAGTGCACATGTAAATAACAATACTTTATTTTCTGTCCCTTGAATGTATTATTTTGCATGATACAGAGAGAGCATATTAGATTAAAAAAATAATGCTGGGGTTTACCTCTGATTTTCCTCTGCACAATTCTATATCTTCAAAAGAAAACACAGGATGAATCCACGTATAACGGACATTTTTAGACTATATTTGGTTAAATAGGCACTATCTTGGTCGCTGGTAAGTTTAAATGCAAACCTTTTCAAAGTGGAAAAGAGTCCTAATTCCACATTCATCAGAGCCAGTGATGCTTTAAACATTGATACAGCATCTACTGTAATGTGTGTAGTGCTTATAAGATTTGTATTAATGTTGTATTAATGTAGCCATAAATGCTGCTGTTCTCTTTAAACAAAATGTGCCCTTATGCTCACATTAAGCATAGAAAAAGAGCATGCATATTTTTGCATAGGACCAATGACATCAGACCAATGAAACTGAAGACCAATAGTGTCCCTACCAAAGTTGAAATCAAACCTTCGCCCTTAATCCCACCGTCTGTCTCGCTTTGAATACTGTGTCTTTCTGTCCTGTGTCTTGACAAAATAGGAATAAACTGATTTCTGAAAATAAAAAAAGACCAACAAACCCTGCTGGCGTTTGCTTGATATTCATCATAAGCTTTTCTGTTAGTTTGAAAGAAAGCATTGAATCTGTGACACCATTAGTCATCCGTTTGGTTGTTGTTGCATTTCTGTAAAATCTTTCTCCTTGTAACTGTAATGCCAGATACATTGAATCACAAGACAAACCAAATAATAAAATTTTCTTCCTGTACAAGAAATGCCATAAGTATGCTTACACAGTCACACGGTTTCAGTTTGAACAGTTGCCTTTAATATCTATAGCAGTTTGAAACTTAGTGACTCACAACGTAGGAAATTTAATGTTTATTTTGAGTTCCTTGAGGTTGACTAAACAATTGAAAATGTTTATAAAAGAATACAAAAAAAGTGGAAATAAAGCTACTTTGATACATTTGGAAATATTCAAATGACAAAGATTAAATACAGCTGAATAAGTTGGAATATTCACATTTCAAACTAATCAGAAGGAGATATTATCTATTTAAGTTCTAATACCAACAGGAAAAATGATACAAATGTAGCTTTAAAGCCTCACACCAGATTACACAATTACATTAGGGTTGTCCCTCTACCTTCTTGAGCCCCTGGCCCCACTAAGGCTTAAAGCAGCATAATGGAGATCATCTGCATGCTCGTAAACCTGGGAAGAAAACAAATAGCACAAATAAGATGTTAGATAATATATTCCTCCATTAGCATTCAACTGATTTTGGGAAATTTTCACCTATTTCACATACCCAAATGGAAAAGCGAATAGCTTAGGAACTGTAAGACGAAATTACACATGCAATACATTATTTGAAAGCTAACACCCTCTGGTTTCTGAATATATACATTAAAATTGGATGAGCAGAACACAGACCAAGCTGCATCAGTTCAAACATGACTCAAAGTTGTTTTATTCTCGAAATTGATAGGTTTTTTTTTAACAGCACTAATTTATTCTAAATCATGTCAACCACAAGTGCAGACAATTTCAGACCTCTAGCTACAACAGTTACAGAGCTGTGGGGTTTTGAACTTTTGGTGTCACCAGCATCTCCAAACCTCTCCAAATGTGCCTGGATTACTTTTTATCTTTGGACCCTTATGGACGAATGGAGCATTAACAATTTAAGATTGGATTTATAAAACTGCTTCTGGATGCCTTCAAGGTTATTTAGCTGTGACTGTCACGTTTATATTTTACATGCTGCTATATCTGTGTTTATTGTGCTTATGTGCTCGCTGTGTAAATAAAATTAACTTGGCTGTTGAATTGTGGAGAATCTAAGCTTTTCCAATGATGTCTAACATGTCTATATTGGTTAAAATTTTACCAGTAGAATTTTCCTCCATTTTGAGTTCTTCTCAATACTAAGCTTGAACAGCATGGAGCTGTGCATTACATGGTTTTAATGCACGACGCTGAGGTCACAGCACGTCGATGTGTAGCAGAGATGCGTTCCTCAGCAGAGTGCATTAAAACAACAAACAATGCACAGCTTTGAGTTGTTGAATCTGCTTATAACATGGTCCTGTTGCATTTCCTGTTCTTGTTTGCTCTCCTCCTCTTCTTATTTATCAAATGTTTTGTTTCGGCCAAAAAATATTACAATTTACCTCAAACTTCATGCTACCACTGTGCCTCGTATTCATCTGTTAAGTCAGCAGATCAGAAACGGCTGGTTGGAATGTTCAACGGTGAAAGATGAAGTGGAGGGATTTAACAATTATTTAATATGCTGAACATGGTGTCCATATGCACCAAAAAAGCACTGCAAGTAAGATTGGAAATCTCATGGACCATGGTGTAATTAAATAAATATATGTTTTTAAAATAAGACTTTGTATTTAACCTAGTTATTTTTTTTCAAGTAATGTTATTAATTGGCCAGATAATAAAGGAATTATATTTTTTCCTTTAAACACCTGTTATACCTAAAAATTTTCAGGAGAATCTCTGTATTGTCAGTGTCATTGTCATTGTAGTTCAAAACATTACATTGAATGAGATAGTGCCTTACTAATATTTGGTGAGTTTATTTTACTGATTGATGGATATATTATAGATATTTTATCTTATATTTCTAACTAGAAATCTGGGACAATGTTGTACTGGACTACAGAATCAAAGGGGTTTATTTTCAGCTCAGCACCAACTTGTGGGTGATGTGCTGTAGGGGATTTCTCAAGGGCTCTGTCTGTCTGGAAAATGCATGCGGTCCAAATGCAAACGCTGTTATCTTCCCTCAGCCTGTTATAATTTGTCAGAATTTCTTCATCAGTTAAAAAGAGATTTCAAAAAAGACTTACGATAGATTTATCATAGCTTTGTGCTGCACTTATCCTTTAATCTTTAATTACCCAACTCAGTTAACAGTAGTTCTTGTTGTTTTACCACTTCCTGAAATAGGCAGGGGTAGTGCTGTTTAGTGGAATTAAACTTAACCTTTGATTTAATCTAGGGTGACCAGATTTGGATATCTGAAGTTTCGACTGCTGGGCTGCTGACTGGACCGGACGTCAGCACAGAGCCATGAGCCGACCGCCCTCAGCTGGAGAAGGGGGGCTGGGGACCGGTAAGGCCATAGGTGCCCAGTCACAAGAACTGAAAGGAAGATCTAAATTTTTTTATTTTTTTCCTCTGGCTTATGAGTAGCTTAAAAACTTTGTTTTTGGGAGTTGAAGCCCATATCCTCTAACCATGATTTTAGTGGCAGTCCAGACCTTGTGAATTTACCTTAAGTTCCTACAGGAGCTTTGTGTCATTCCATCATCTCAGTAGTTTGCACTTCACTTGATCTTTTCAAGCTGCAGTCATAATTACCCAAAAAAACAATACATGACACTTTAAATGTATGACTATCACTCCATAAAAATGTTTTATGTTATTCTAATGCATTTAGCTTTAGTGCACATACTTTTGCTAAAATGGCCAGGGATTTTTGCAAACTATTTTGATCATTTCAGTGCATCCTAATTTTGTTCTTATACTTTCCAAATGTCCAAATGTTCTTATACTTTATATTAAGTCTTTTGTTTGTGTTTTCTTTTTTTTAATTTAATGAAACAGAGTAATTGGCTTGGTCAGATTTACATTAGGGTTGATTTAAATAAAGTGTGAAAAGTTAAATTACTTCTAAAGTCAAACTGACAGGTGGAATTTTAACATCACCCTATGTTGCAGCATTCCATGAAAAAGAATTTGGTACTGATAGCTACAAAATCAATTAGTATGTTAGCCTAGTAAATACCTAATACTATTTTCATCATTTCAGTGCATCCTAATTTTACTCCAAATTTGAGTTATATTTTTAATCTGTTTCACTTTAAAACACTTTAACCTTTCTTTGTGTTTTACAACTACTGGTGTCTTCTTCCGCTTTATCTTGGACAGGGTCATGGGGGCTAGAGTCCCAAGCAGAAACCACCAGATCTCCCTCACTCCAGGCACCTCTTTCAGATCTGCTGGGGGAAGCCAGACGTGCTCCCACGTCAGTTCGGGGACATTGTCCCTCACGCATGTCCTGGGTCATTTACTTTGCCTCCTTCTGATGCCTGGAACACTTCCCGAAGGGGCTTCCAATTTTAAAACTAATATTTTAACGAAGTTGTATGGAATAAAGTTATATACTTTTATTGTGAAAACACCAGTTTCATTTTTTGAATTTTCTTAATTTTCCAAATGTTCTTATACTTTATATTAAGTGTTTTATTTGTGTTTCCTTTTTTTAATTTAATGAAACAAAGTAATTGGCTTGGTCAGGTTTACATTAGGGTTGATTTGAAAAATTTCATTAAGTGTGAAAAGTCAAAATACTTCTTAAGTCAAACTGACAGGTGGAATTTTAACATCACCTTATGCTGCAGCATACCATGAAAAATAATTTGGTACTGATAGCTACAAAATCAATTAGTATGTTAGCCTAGTAAATACCTAATACTTAGATAAAGGTAAGGTATTTTGTTATACTTTCCAAACAAACAGAAGTCTTATATACTATGGAAGACCACGGGTCCATTTCATGAAGCAGGTTTATTGAATACTCAAATGTTTTCTAAACCTAAAAATCTGTTTTCCTTTTCAAAAAGAGAGTTTAACAAACCTCCGTATCAGTCAACATAGTAACATTCTCCCCAGAGCTAACCTTTTCGGGCACAGGTATTGTTCATTAAACTCGGAGTGTCCTCTGTCTCCTTAGAGCCAATTAAGCTGTTTTATTTCGTGATTTAGTCAGATTTCTGTCATAGTCTTGTGTAGAAATAAAAACAAACAATAATAATAATAATAATAATAACAATAATAATAAGAAAAATTGACTGGGTCCGTTAAACACATACATTTTTAAAAAGAAACATCGATCTTATTAAAGAATGATTAAAGCAATTTTTTTTCGCATAGCATTAATAATGGAAAGGATTCTACCACTCAGTTTATAGGAAATTAGATTTGCTTTTGTTTTTTGTTTAATATGAGCAACATGCAGATCATGTTATTTTTATTTATGTATTTATTTTATCGTACATGAACTACTGAAATCATTTTTAGATTACACATGAATAGATCAATTCATGGAAGTACTTTAAGGTTAGAATTAGGATTAATTCAGGGATAACAACCTATTCAGCCTACTGTCACAAACCAAAACCATTCTATAGGACGGATACCTTCTAATAACACCATTTATTGGATGTTAAAATCCAAAGCAGCTGGAAACAGCCACTTAGTATTTACTGTGTAAAAGAAAACAGAATCAAACCGAAGAACCCCATGAGATGATGACCAGGTTTCATCTGTTAGAACAAAGTTTGTAGAATTCATCTTCACCTGCTTCCAGATGATTTCACCTAAATTGAATATATTGATCCTCTGCCATTCAAGAAATAAACCCGTAACGTTATCATGGTCACAAGAGGGTATGACAAGGCATTTTCATATTTATTACTTTTACTGAACATGTTCTCCGGATATCTGAAAAAAATAAATTTTACTTGTCAAAATAACCATTTAAAATAAATACTCTGGATGTTTAGAAATTAATTTAAGATCTCGATATTCCTGTTTTTACTGATCAACATTTTTATTATATTGACTATGAAGAAATGTATTTCAGATAGCATTAATATAAGTTCATTCAAGTCGATAAATGTCAAAACGGCTCTTAAAATGTGTAAACATGTCTAGGTATATAAAACTTTATTCTATTTTAACTAGAATAATTACGTTTTTTGCTTTCTGAAATTCAGTTTCTACTGTAAGAATGTCATTTAGAAAATATATTATTACAGTTCAGTCTAGGAATGTGATTTTGATCAAGAAGAATCATATCTTAGTGATCTGCAAATCTAAAAACAGAGAGGAGAGTTCTTCTAATAAATGCCCAAAGCAGACTTCCTCTCCTTTGCAGCTGTAGAGCTGTTTCTCTGTCTTTTAAACATTCTCCATTTTTATTTTCTTCATTAAAATCTCTTCTGGTGTGTTTCCTGTTGTCATGGTGACTTGTGGAATAAGGGCTCCACTGATAATGGCTTTTCATACTTGTTATGCACATGCTAACCTCTGAGTGGACCTACTTAGGGTTGATTAAACTAATTCATAGCAGCCATTCTGAAACCAAAAACTCAGCCTAGATCAATTTAGAGTTGCAGATTTGAATCTGATTTTGTTAAATGTGCTTTGTAAAACAGACCCCACATCTGACATTAAAAATAAGTAAATTACAAAAGTGCTTTTTTTTTTAGATAAATTGTTTTTAGATAAATCATTTTTTTTTGCTCTATTTTTTAGCCTTTAAAAAAATAGAGAAAAAAACCCATATTTATTCATTTAAATAATTTATTTTTTAGCATTTTAATTCTCAAATTTAGTTTGGATTATTAAAAATAAAAATGTATTCATTTCTGGGTATACAGTAACTTTTTTGGCTGTTGTTTTTTTTTTTATTTTTTTTTTACTGTAACTTATCTTCTACCCTGTTTATTTATGCTTGACTTTTCTATCCTCCTTAGTATTTACACTGCTTTATCTGTTGCATTCTAGTATTCTGAAAACCTGTGAAACATAATATTGAGAAATAAAGCACACAAAAAGCTCACGTTTGCCTGTAGAGAGGAGGCTGGTGAAGATCTCTGTGGAGGCTCTGTTGATACAAATACAATCAGCAAAAAACTTTTTGAGAAATATGACAGGCTGTTAATCTGATAATTCTTTTAACTTATTTAGCAAGTGGTGTTCAATAAAGATTTATCCACAATCTACAATGAAAAAGTCATTGAAGTTAGAATGTAAAAAATCTTAAAGCTGCAATTAAAAATGAACAAAGTCATGTCTAAATTATCATAATTTCTTAGATTATAAATCTAAATGATTGCCAAATTTTACCTTTGCAAGATTTCTTGTAAAGTATAATTGCCAGAAAAAATGCCAGCATAGTGACGAAGGCTAAAGTTCCACTTAAGACATACACCATGACAGATGTATTGAACTTTTCTGCAGAGAAACAGTGAAGAAAAAGATACAGTGATGACCACAACTATGTAAATTGTAAGACTATATTAAAAAATAATAATAATAACAATAATAAGTTACTCTTGTGGTCGAGCGTTATTCCCTTTCCAAAAAGAATGTGTCCACATAAGGCAACAGCACAGTGGTATGTCCCCGCATGTGATTCATTCATCCTCTCTATGGTATAGCTGTATACACAGCTATTTGTTTGCGTGGTTTTGTCTCTCTTACAGAGTTCATCAGTTGTGTCTTGGGTGTAAATTATTCTTGGAAGATGTTCTTCTGAGCTTTGGACCCAGTAAACACTGTATCCTTCATTACAGCTTCCAGTTTGAATTCTGCAGCCCAAAGACACAGAACCTTCTGATTGAATATCTTCAAATCCGAGCTGGGGAGTCCAAACACTCAGATCTGATTCCATTACATGAAGTATAATGCCCTCTAGAAATTTATACTCATATGAATGAATTCCTGTACAGTAGTAAGTAGCAGAGTCTGACATTTGTACATTCAAGATTTTCAAGTTATTTTTATCCGTGCCAGTTTCCAGGTCAAATCGTTGATCTTTCCAAAATTCACCTTTAAGTGAGCTATTTCTCTTATACTTATAAAACTCTGATATAAGCTTTGGTTTCTGCCCAAGAGTTTGCTTATACCAGTAGAAAATAACTCCATCAGATTCTTTATAGAGACACTTTAAAGTGATGTTCAAGCCAATGTTAACTGCTTTAAAATGCAAAGATGGCGATGGTCCTTGAACATCCAAGTAAGCTGAAAGAAAAAAGTAGAACAAAACTTTCTACTTAGATGGGGAGTTATTAAATATAAAAGAATGTACTGCAATACCAACAAATTACTACAAAAGACACAACTTACCTACGGTTTCCAAGATCAGATATGTCACTAAACAAATAAACCTGAGGGGAGTCATTTTGGTTAAATGCCTATGCTTCACTGATAAAATCTCTTATAGTGCTCTACTTTCCAGAGAAAAGGCAAAGTGTGACAAGCCAATCAGAACTGACTTTAAACCTCACATGTTCTGAATCTCTGTTCAGTATTCATGTCTAAAGGAGTGGGTAGGAAAAATAAGGAGAGAAATTTTTTTAAATTACTTTTGTGTTCTAGTGGTCTTTTGTGTTATTATTATTTTTAAGTAATTACACAAGAAATGGGATAAGGGAGACAGGGAGAGGACCTGAAGCAAAGGTCACCAGGCTGGGCCCAAACCCTATGCACATTGGTCTGTGCATGGATTGGCAAGGCACCACCATGCTCTGAAGGAGAGTATTTTTGGTATTTTATTGAAACACTGTTAATCCTCTCAGAAAACGTCAAGGAACTGATTTCAGATTTATTTTATTTGTGTGTTGGGATATTAATGTTCAATGCTCATCTGGGTTGGATGCCACATTAAT